TGGTACATCGATATCCCTAATTAATTGTTGGTGAACTTGCTACGTTATTGATGATCCCGGCCCCTCCCCTCATTACAGCGAGCACGACAGTGCAGTGCTCGAGGCGAAACGTCTTCCAACTTTGCGGTCGACCGTCGCTTTATCGCCTCAACCGAGCTCTTCCCCGCAATCGTTTATACACTTAAGGACTTCTATCGATACGTCCCACCGCTCATTTGAATGGCAAATACGCTCACATAGGTGCCGACTCGCGACAGTTTTCGAAGATGAATACATACTTCGTTTGATGAAGAAGCGTGTCGCGCGTTGGCGCGCCGATTAATCTTTCACGTCCCGACTTTTTATCTTTCAAGATAAAGTAATTCGCAACTCCTCGCCACGATTCTATTAAACATTCGTGACGGATGGTGATCGATCTATTAAGCTTTTCGCACCTCACTCGTCTTTGTATAGGAGTGAAGTGTACGGAAAATTGATACAATATTTGCAATAGACATGATACTTCTATGGTTACATAACGATTTATACTAAACTTCGTCTATGGCTATATATGCGTATACATATAGAGATGAGTTGCCTATGCGTACTGCTCACTTAAATAATATTTCATCAATTTTTTTTTATTGAATATAAATAACATCTAATAAAAATATGAAATAACCGAGCAAATGAGATATGTAGAAATTTAATTGTAAAATTTATGTGTAAATTTAAAAAAATTTCCAAAATATATTTTAGTTTGTGTGTAATATAAACATTTTAAAAAAATCAGGTACAATTGGTGTAACTTTCAATTTATATAATTGGTAATAATCTAACAATATAGTTTTATACTGCATATTATACACTATATTTATTCTCACCCTCTCATCTTCCATTATACAATCGATTACCGAATTTCCTCTTCCTCATCACATACGTCCATTCTCCTCTTCATTTCCTTCCACTTCTCATATACTGTTAATTAAGGGGCCTATTCTTCTTCTGTAACTTTTAATGACTGTAACGACATCGTTATATTGTCGTTGCGCAGCTTTTTTACTATACAAAATCTGCGCAATGACAATGTAACAATATCGTTACAGTCGTTAAGGATTACAAAATAAGCCCCTGAATGTCTTATTTCTTCTTGTCTTAAATTATGTCATTCCTCCTGCAGAGCGTTGCGGAGGAAAAACGTTGATAAACACGAAGAGACAATATACGTTATTAAACACACACGCACACACACATACACACACGCACATACAAAACACATACACATACACAAAATTAAATTCTTGCCACGCCGTTGATCCTGGGTAACGCCAAAAGCAGAAATACATATACACTTAAGTATACGTACATGCACATACCAGCTTTAAAAGCTTTAAGATTTACAATTCATTTTAATTTCATTTTTAATAAAGTCTCCAATAATAATTTGTTTCAGAGTTATATTGAATATATAAGAAAAAATTGTTCATTTTGTAACACTTTTCTTAAAACGGTATAACTTTGTAAAAAAAATCATATGCATATATGTAAAAAAATCATATGCATATATGTAAAGAGTGAGAAAAAAAGATACACAATACTTCCGGCACTTTCTTCCTGATCAGATTTGCGTAAGACTAATATATTAAGCCGGCAACACACGATGCTTGTTTTCTTGCTGGATTGCTAGATGTATTAGATTCTTGCCATCGTATTGGCTGCGATGCTAGCACTGTCAGAAATTCCTTGGGAATTAAAATATATAGAAATGGATTCGTGTGGTCATTGCTAAATCCAAAATTATGATTTTTCAGATACAGGATAGTATATTATTTTTCAAAATTATAACGAGTTTTCCACTTTTTGAACATTTAAACATCCGCCAAACTAGATTCATTCTATTTAAAAATTTACAATTTTTTTTATTTCATATTTGACGAAAACATTAGGAGTAACCCAAAATTCAAATTTTATAAAAATCGATTATGAAATTTATAAAATAAAAAAAAATGATACCAATATAAGACATTCGTCTCGAAAAGGTTAAATAACACTGCACGATTTTTTATGATATTGTAAAGAGAATATTAAGATGAATTAAAAATGCATCAACGGATATGTCATTTTTATAAATATTTAATATTAAATTTATATTATTAAAAATTGCAGCATTCATTCTATTTTATTGTTCTATTTTTAACTAAAAATATAAAAACTGTCCGTATATATGTACAATTTAGAGCTTCACGAAAATTTCTTCTATTATACATTCTATTATACATTCACCAAGTGTTACTAATACGTCAACTGCTACTTCCGAATTAGAATAACGATATACGATAGTTACATTTTATATTTGTAACAGTACAGCGTGCGTGGAATTTTGCATTTTTAACGCAATTTTTATGTGATTTGAATGTTCAGAATACCTTTCTCATATCATATATAATATATATGTATATTTATATACTATATCTGTCTTTATATATGCTTTGTATATAAAGTACAATATTATAGTCTTTTTGTTTCTTAACGTTGCATTTTTTGAAACGCCATTGGAACAAGATTCATTTTTCATAGCAATTTTGTAACAAATATTTGGATAAACATTTAAATTCCGAATTCATACTTTATTGTAATATTTATATATTGGAATAACATGTATTTATTTTCAATGAATAATAGAGATTTTAAAACACAGATTGTGTATCACTAATATATGAGATCTTTCTTCGAAAAGAAATCAGTGTTGCGAAAGTTTAAACAACAATTTTATCGATTAAATTTTAATGACACGTGTTTGATATTAAAATAAATATTTTTAAATTTTATCACAAGGTTGAGTGGCAAGTATGTTAATATGTTTTGTTTACGAATGATATTATATCGAATTCATAAAATATATATAATATGACGAACACACGCATGCAACTAGATTACTTTTAATATTCGTATCGATATGCAGCGATATATCTGCGCATACTAGGACGTAATTTAAATGCATTAATCCTTTGAGTGGTAAACTATGATGTATCGTCATATCATGCGTGTGCTTGGAGGGTCAACATCGATTTATCGTTATTACTATAACATTCGAGAGATAAACAAGATAGATATACTTGAATTTTAAACGAGATTTTGTTAAATTCTCATTAAACGCGAATAATTATTAACTCTTACAGGTCACAGGTACATAATTATTTATAACTGTTAATAAAATATTAATTGAAAGTATATGAAATTTTCGAAAAAGTAATGAATTGACAATTTTGAAATGACTGGTAAAAGTAAAAGTAGCGTGGTAAATGTTGATTAATAATGTACACCTGAATTTACATGACTAAATAACTTATTAATTTATACTGTTTTGGCTCAACTTTAAGCAGAGAATTTTTATAGAAAAAAAATTTGATTGTATAAAAATATAGATGAATAATGTATTAATAATATCGAAATATATCTCTATGAAATATATTTCTTACACTTTTAATTATATCAACGGCTATATAACTACATAAATAGAAATTATCTGTATAAAATTATAATATAAAGCATATAAACCTGTTCATCCAAACATAGATTACATTTACACCCTTAGGTTGTGTTCCAAATTTACTGCCAGCGCTGAAAATGCTACAGTTTATATTACGTACACTATAAATTTTCAGTACAGGCAATTTTGGAACACAGCCTTAATCTGATTTAATAACATTCGTAATTATCAAAATGGCCAATCAAATCTATTCCTCTAAAGAATGGAATGACTGTGATAGGCTAGTTTCTAACTATGTTATTAAACCCGATTAAAAGTATCTGTGTAAACCTAGTCATACATATTACATGAATAAAAACTCGTAAAAGTCTTTGAAAGAAAAAAAAGAGTCATTCTAAATATAAAGTAACCCAAAAGCTGTATATGACGGACAGAATTTATGAATTTTATACATATATACAAGGTGTCTAGTAAAGACCGTAACAACGATTAAGGATTGATTTTTGATAGCATTTTGAAACGAAAATTCTAATATTAAAATATCTATTCTAATATTAAAATATCGAGATATAATAATTCTCGAGATATAAAAATAAGCATTTAAAATTATCGAGAATCGTATCGCATAAAATTCGTGCACTTAAATAGATCAACTACGGTTGAATTTTCCGTTGTATCATATTTGAACGCGCAAACTTTAAGCAGTATAATTTGATAACTTTAAATGCTTATTTTTGAAAACTATTATACCCTCGATATTTTAATATTAGAATTTTCGTAAAAGATTATAGCATTGACATTTTGATATTAGAATTTTATCTCAAAATGATCTCAGGAATTTACTCATAAACGTTGTTTATATATAATATATATTATATATATATATATATTTTATATATCATATATACATATATGTATTATATGTATGCATTTTGCAATTTTCGCAATAGTTAACAAGATATTAATTACTGAAAATCGCTGAATATTGATTTTCAGTAATTTTTTATTCAAATACTAATAACTTTTGAATGAAATTTTTATAATAATTTTTGAATGAACAGTGAAACGCCATCTAAAATCTTTTGATAATCACTCAAAGTCATGTGTTAAAATCCAGATCATTGGTGTAGTATCCATTAATCCGAATAATTACCAAGAATTATTTAATGGAAATCGAGGAGGCCTCTCTTTTCACAGATAACAAATTCTTTGTTTTACATTATCATGATTATTATTACAATAATCTTCGCGTAGTTATTGATCTAAGAACAAAAATTTTAATTCAATATGTTCAAACTGAAAGAAGTGTGATATTTGCAAAACAAACTTTCGGGAAAATATGCGAATGTCAAGTAGCTAAAACAAAAAAAAAAGATAGTCAATACAAATAGCGCTCGAAGCTACCTCTACTTTTACTTTACGCAACGCCGGAATCCGCTCGGCTTTGACGACGGATGGAGCGTGCGCAAACAATAATTTCCCGTAAAAACATACTTTACTGAAGGGAAAGCCGGAAGGTGGTTGCACTTACCGGTGCGCACCAGTACGTTGAGCAGGATGTACAGGACGAGGGTGGTGACCCGGTATCCATGTATTATGATCATCAGCCACTTCGATACGTTGAATCCCGCCGCGTGCCATAGACCCGTGCCCTCGTGCACCATATTTTCCCCGTTCAAGCCTCAAGGGCGTCGTCGCCCTCCGTATGCGTTCCTTGTGCCTTCATTCACCAGCACTCTGCAATCGAACAATGTAACGTGAGTGTTATTTGGCGATACAATTCTTGCTTTTCACTAGACTGCGTCTTCGAGAATGTCAAGTCTTTGTGCTGTGACGCAAATTAAAAGATCGAGAGTTCATTTCGCGAGAAAGAAAAAAATGGTGAAATATTAGATCGTTGGTACTCAAAAACCCTTTTTAAATATGACTTTTTTACTATTGCTCTTTTGTTGCAGCTAATTTAATTATGTCGTAGATTTTTTTTTACTTAATCTATGTGTGGTATAAATCCTAATGATAATATTTTCTTTATTCCGAAAAAATACAATATTATTTAAAACCGAATATTTTAGGCTTTTTAGGCCGATTATTATATGACTTTCGAAATTGTATATCGAGATTATTTTTGTTAATAATATTGGAATATTTTTATGAAGATTGAAAATTATTAAGGTTTCCTTCCGCTAAATAAACGTTATTTGAAGAAATTAACACTAACACATACACAGAACAATTACAGAAAAAGGATTTAATATGATGCAAACATTTTCTATTACAAAGAACATCATTAATAATTTGTTAACAATCAAAAACCATTGTGTTGATATAACAACGCATTTTGTCATTACAACAGTATTAATAATCATATCTATTAAATTAACTACATATTGATTGCGTTAATTATATAATACCCTCAATTAACTTGATGTTTGAACAAGAGCGATTGTGTCAGTTTCAATCTACATAATTTCCTCAATATAATAACTTTCGAATTGTAAGATATTTCAATTTTATTCACATTAGATACCTGAGTCGAATAAGGCCCACCTAATTTATTTTTTTTAATTCTATTTATAGGGATATTGAAATAAACGAAATGAGAATAAAATATTTATTTCACTCACTCACAAAAACGAAATATATCTTTTATATAGAATATTTATAAACGAAAAAAATTTTTTATTTCTGATATTGATCCTTATTATGCATATAAATATATAATAAAGCTCAAATTAAAAATAAATTTAAAATAACAAAGAAACTAAACATTATCTTTCTAAAGCAGTTTTAAAATTATTATTATTATCATAAAAAGAGGAAATCCTTTTCGACTATTCTACTTTTAAACATCACCATTATCTTTAATTTAATCTCTAATTAATCTTTTAATCTTTGGAAACTTCTTACAATTTAAGTGTAATTTTAACTTCTTAAAAGTTAACAATATTAAAATCATTATTCTCTGACGTAAATTTCACACATAACAAGCAAATAACGATTTAAGAAATAGTCCTCATATTTAATAAAAGTTTAATAAGATCATTGTATTTAAATCATTGTATTTAAAAAAATGACTATTTAAAAACTCGATTTATTTATTATTTTTCCAAGCTAGATGAATAATATTATATATATATATATATATACACACAATATATATATATATGAATAATATTATGTATATATAATATAATGTATAATTTGTATAATAATAAAAAAAAGCATAAAATAATGTATACTTGATAAATTTAGCAACTAATTGTGATAAAAATGGTTTGTGCACACTCTTCACAAATTTTTATTGCATTAAACAAACGTGTTGTAATTAATTCTAATTCATTGGTCTCTTTATTTACTTCCTGTAGTATTTCATTTAAGCATACATCTACTCTCAGTGTAAAGCGAATTTTTAAGTAATAAATTTAAAATATTTATGCTTTATTTAATATCTTATTCGACTTCAATCTTATTCAATATATAGTAACTAATAAATTCATCATAAAAAAATTGGAACTTTCTCAGAAAACATGCAAGTCTTTAAACATCTTTTATACCATACTTCGTCTTTATATTTTTTAATTTTTTAGCACTGTGCATAGTGCATCGTTATGAATGTGGGAAGTTATTTAATCATATGTTTGATACTACAATATAAATGTATAAACTAATCGATTTATTCAATATAATAATACTCAATTCTTCAAGATAATATTCAAATCTTCAATATGATAATACTCAATTCTTCAAAATAATACTCAAATCTTGAAGAGAAAAGTAAGTATTGATTACCCAATTCTATTTGCGGTGGATGAGAATCGATTGGAACGCATCAGGCTATTTGAGATGCGATATAGATCATCCTACTATGCCGTGAAGCGAATCGATAATACTTATTAATGTGAGTAAATAGGTTCGCTGATCCTGAAATTTCTCTATTACGTTGTGAGAATCTGAATAATTTTTGTCAATGCTAAAAACGTTTTTGTTTAGAAATATTAATATATATTGTATATCAACTCAAATCATCTGAATGATTTGATGCAGATAGTAAAATAGCTTAAAATCAATAAAGATTTTTTAAGTAATTTCTATCTTATTATTATATACATTTATAAAATAAATTTAGATTTAAAACAGTGAAAGCCAACAAAATTTATTTAATAATTATGTTTCAATAATTATATCCTAAAACTGATAAGTAAAAATTTAATTATATATATATATATATATTTTATTTTTATATTACTTTTCTAATATGTACCATCTTATATTTTTTATACAAATTATTTACCGCAAATTTAGGAATACACTCTCAGGAAGGATTTCTGATATCCAGAAAAAAAATTTATGACGTACTTTATCTTAACTTAACTCTATATAGTATAAAATTATAACTACGTATATTAAGATTATAAATCAGTAATTTTTATTCTACTGCATTGAATAAAATAAGATCTACATGTTGTCTTGAGACAAGTGTACATAAATTTAAGTTTATATATTCTTACATTTAGAATAAGTCTTTATCCCAGTATTACAATATTATATACATGATGTTATAATATCATGATAGCGAAACTCGTGGTATAGCGCGCTTAAGATATATGAAACGAGAGATCCTGAGGTCGAGTCCCAGTCAAATCCAATTCTTCGTTGTCGAAAAATAAGATTATTAAACATTCTATAAACTTCTTTCCACAAAAATAGAGCAAAATATTTCTTTTAAATCAGTGTTTAAAAGAATATTGTGTCTGACCTCAATTTTTTTATTAAGAAAATTAATGGGATAACATCAGGAATATTTTATTCTAGATTTTTAGAATTTTTCATTTAAAAATAAAATATTCTTCTCTAAAGAATAAATATGATTGATAGATCTTATTTAATTTTAAATCGAGGAGTAATAGCATTAAATAGCAGAAATCTTTTTTGTGGCTGATTTATGAATTTTCTAAATAATTTCAAAAGAGTAATTTAATAAGTTAAATTCATAAACAAATTGGAGAAATGTGTATAATAGAGAAATAAAAGAAATAATTTTAGAACAATTTTTAGGAATAAATGCAATAAAATAATGTAAATTCTATTTGAAACTTCTCAATATCGTAGTATTGACATGCTATTAAGTTGTTTATTTAATATTATGTAAACCAGTTGAATGTATTGCGTCTATTCTGCGTAAAGAGAATACGTAGCGCAAACTGAGTTCTGAGCTATAAGCTTCAAAGTTTTCTTCTCGTAGAACAAACGATATCAGAACTCGTTTGCGTAAGAGTGTGTTTAGAACACGTTACCTCAACGAGTGAGGGAATCTTTACTTAAATCTTCTTACACGCTGTCTATCTCATGTTGACTGAGGCTTTATTAACGTGTAAGTACACAATCCAGAAAATGTATTTACTAGATTAAGAAGATTAATTGAATTATGTATATATAGATCAACGAGGAAGAATCTTATAAAGAATCATTCATATTTATATATCGATAGCCATGGTGTTTTATTGACAACTGCAGATTTTTATCTGACATTATTGATATATATCTTAATGTCTTAACTCTTCAATGCAATATTACTATTTTGTTAAAGATGCAATAGACAATGCATACTCAATCCAACTTTAATTACTTATAACTTTTACGAAAAGAAATATATTGTAATAAATTTTATTTTTTTGATCAAGACATTAAGGAATACTACAATAATATCAAGCGAATGTATGTAACTTTGTAAAAAAGTTACATGAACAAACTAAAGTAAATCAAAGATAAAGTTTCCAAAGAATTGAAGTGTTAATTTTTTAATTTTTATCTCTTTAAAACGAGAAAGGGTTAATTTCTTTAAGAGCTTCTTTCAGCGTTCTTTCCTATGAGAGGTCTTTCAATGCATTCTTTTTGATAATGTTTTCTCTGAAAGAAACATATAGAAAACATATAGCAAAGAATATCCGAACACAGAGATCCTCCTGGCAGAGCAAACGCTTTTTCAATAATTAACCACTATTTTCGGAAATAAATCGAATTTCCTTACGAATTATTTATACAACGTTGTCGTAGTTTCAGCGACTTATTGTTAGGTAAAAAAGAAATTAATATTCAGTCCAAGAGAGAAACGACGTTCCTTGCGAATTTCTGCCGCGCTCATTTTTCCCTGAAGCGTCTGTCGGCGTCACGTAGGCGACTTTCCACCGACGCAATTACTCGAAGACCACCGGCAACGTGATGACGTACATACCAGCGACTCAAACATCAAAGTTCTCCTCTCTAGCTGCTAATTTCAAATGCGTCAAATAAAAAAAAATCGAGCGGGGGTTTGCAATGGCTTTTCTATTTTGATGATGTGCAAAAATACTTGCGAGCTAACGTTACATCTTGCAAAGGTGTAGCCTCTATTCTCGTAGTCCGCTCCCTCTCGAATGTATTCTGGTTCGCTTCTATCGAAATTAAAAACATCATTGTGCTCTTACGGAAAGAAATTTCCTCTGTGTTCTCTACTTCCTAATTATTGGTTCGCTTTTTTCTTATTAGATTACTGTTCTCAAATCAACTCGTCAGCTTCGCTTTTGAAAATAACACTTAATTAGGAAAGGCACTGTCTAGCTATGACAAAGCCAAATATTCTTGTTTGCCAGGTACTACGATAAGCCTGAGTATGCCCTGCCACAAGACTAAGGTGACGTTAATAAATCATCAAATGCGTTTGATGTCAAGTAAATAGTCACTAACGGCTGATTTGATAT